ATACAAAAGAAGGACCAGAACGGTAATAAATGGGAACCAAAATAAGGAAAGAAATAATGAATCTAAATAAAAATACCAAAAAGAAAAAGGGATAAAATATTTTGAATCATTAAAATAAATTAATTTTTATTATTTTGTTATTAAAATAAAAATAAAAAATAAAAAAGTAAATTAAATACTCATTCTATATTCATTTATATTTCTTTATATTTTGTATCATTTTATGGTAAATTGTTCTGAATTATAAATGATTCAGAAATGATATTTGATTCAATGTATGTATACATTTTTATTATTATGTTATTATTATGTTATTTATGTATTTTATTTTTATATATTTATATATTTTATTATTATATTATATATATCATCATATTATCTATATTTTTTTTATTTATCATATTTTATTAATTTTATATTCTTATTATTTATATTTTATTTTATATATTAATACACTTCTATTTATATATAATTTATTATATATGAATATATTTCTTTATCTTATTTTCATTTTTATTATATTTTTATATTTTATATCAATTTTCTCTTTATATTAATTTTATTTATTATTTATATTATATTGATTTTATTTATTATTTCATTTATATATTTTATTTATTATTATATCATTTCTTTTCTCTTATTATTTCTTTATTATTTATTATTATTTATTTAATTTTTATATCTTCTATCTATATCATATGAAATTATTATTTATTATTTATTACATATTATATACTAATCATATATCATCTTAACTGATTATATAATAAACACTGATAATAAATTATATATATAAATAAAAATCATAAAAATAAAAAAGAATAAAATAAATTGCATAAATAAAATATTGTTAAATAATTTGCATCAATAAATTAAATGCTTTTTTTATTTCATATTTCTAATTTCTATAATAAAAATACATCCTTTATTTCATCATTCTTTTCATCTTTTATTATGTCTTTTTGATATACCCCCTTTTTATTTTCTTTCATTTTATATTCTCAATTTTCTTATTCTTTTCATCTTCTTCTACTTCCTAATTTCACTTTATTTCTTTTATATCATTCTTTCTCTTCACATCTCTTTATTTTTCTCTTATTTATTTCCTTTTTTTCGTATCATTACAATAGTATTTCTAATGTTCAAAATCAAATTTCATCTATTAATATTTATTTTAATTATTAGTTTGTTTTGTTCAATATTTGTCATTTTGATAATACAATTAAGTTATTTTTAATAACAAATAATGTGTTTAAACTATATCTTATTAATAAGTTTTATTCAATTATATTCAATTTTACATTACTTTGTTGTTATTGTAATCTTTTTTATACATAAAAATTAATTACTTCTATTTCTTACTTTATCATTTAATTTCTAAACACTTGTGAAAATAAAGTTTTATGATTATACAAAAAATTAATTTCAATTATATTTCTTATTAAATTTTGTAGATGATTTCTTGTATATCATATTGTTTATTTTTTTCTATTGTTTGTTTAATATATAATTCAAATTTTTCATTTTATTAGTTGAAATTCTTTGTTTCATTATATTGAATAAATATTCTTTATCATTAATAATTGTGTATTTATAATGTTCTTCTGTTATATCATCTTCATTAATAATATAAACCCATTGTTATAAATATTCATTAATAAATAGAATGATGTCTTCTTTATTAATTAGTTGTTCTTCATTTGAAATATCAATGAGATTGTTAATGATGAGAATTCTAATAAATTTCTCATTTTATTGTTGTTTATTCAATTCATTTTATACTATAAACAATAAATAGTGTGTTTCAACTTATTTAATGAAAGAATACTGTCTAAAAGATAATATTAGATAAACAAGATTCTAAATACATTTTATTTTAATGAATATTGTAAACTCAATAATTAATTATCTTCCATCTCTTTGACTTCTTCGTAGTTATTTGTTCTACTTGTTGAGAATACTTTGTATCTGTTCAACTGTTTATTTCGTGTTCTTTTGAACTGAAAACTAATTCATTGAACCAAACAATAACTATCAAAAATATCACTTTTCATAACTAAATGAACCTATCTTAAATAATAATATCATTAAGAATGGAAATATTTCAATTGATATCATATGTATCCTTTTAATTAATAAATGATATACAAATTAAATTAAAATACTGGTTGATTGATTTTCTAATATCTAGTTCATTTATATTCACAATTTTCATAAATTGATGAAATAAAATAAAGAAAGATATCACTACAATAGAGAAAGAAATAAAATAACATAATACAAGTAACTCAAGATTATTTAATTAAATTTGTTGAAAAAGATAATACTAAGAAGAATGAAATAGTTTTACAATACAACTTTGATTCAATTTAAATCATTTCAGATTAATTTCATTCATTATTTCGTTCTCATTATTATCATATATAAAAAAAAAGAATAAATAATAATAACATATTCATCTTTGTTATTTTATTTTGAATGTTTAATTGTAGTTAGAAGAATGGAACAAAACTCAAGAGAATACAAAAGATAGAATAAACAATAAATAATATATAAATGAATAAATATTATTATTAATATAATATAATAATAAAAAGAAAAAAAAAAAAGAAAAAAAAAAGATGGAAAAATACCCCGATGTTATTCCTCTTGTAGGTAAAGAAACATGGGATAATGTCTATAAACCAGATGTTGATAGTTATTTGTTAATGAATGTTTTAGAAAAAGAAAGAGATTTCATTAACAGTCATGAACCAATGACATCACTTGAAATTGGAGTTGGAAGTGGTATTGTATCAAAATACGTTAAAGAATTATTCCCACGAATAACTACATTCTGCAGTGATATTAATCCGTATGCACTTGAATGTACGAAAAAAGTTCATAAAGAAGGGAATTTAATTGAAAGCTCATTGATAGAATCAATCAGAGACGAATCAATTGATTTGTTTATATACAATCCACCATATGTTCCAACACCAGAAGAAGAACTTCATCATTCATATCTTTCATTAAGTTGGGCAGGAGGAAAAGATGGGAGAGAAAAAATTGATTGTGTAATTGAACATTTGTGGGATATATTATCACCAAGAGGAATTGGTTATATTGTAATAATTCAAGATAACGACCCAAAAGCAATTATAGAAATGGCAGTTAAACATAATTTGAGACCTAAAATCATTGATTCCATCATTCTTGAAACAGAAAAGTTATATGTTTTACGATTGATCCCAATCTTTGAGATAAATGAATAAAGTAGAAAAGAAAATGAATTTATCTTATTTATTAGGATTAAAACAAAAATAATTCAATAATAAAGAAGACTTTTTGGTTAGAACAGAATAATATCTTGAATAATCAAAGAGAAATAAAAACAATAAAAATAACATCATTCACAATTATATTATCTATTACTTCTTGTTTTAAATGATTGATTAAACTAATATAATTTCATTATCATATAGATTCATTTAACATAGAATATATGAAAATAAAAAAGAAGAATCAATCAAGTTCTCTAGAATTATAAGAGTAGAATGTATTTAAAATACTATAAAGAAAATAACACAATTAGAAAGAAGTTTTTTATAATAATATATAAAGGGATAATGAATCAAGAAAGAAGAACAATAATATAATGAAACTAATAAATAAAAATAAGAATTACAAAACATGAAAAATAACAATAGAATGAAATATCAAAATTTAATATCAGATAAATAAGAATAAAATCCAATAAATAAAAATCTTATATATGATATTCATAATAATATTAAATAATAAATAATTCTATTCTATGTCTATAATGTACAAAGAAATAGTTACTTAAAAATAATATTAATTGATAATATATATTTATATTAATTATATTTATCATCTTTCATTAATCAAAATGAAATATCCTTTCTATTTATTAATAACATATTATTATTTTATGAGTTTTATGTTTATATTTGAAAATATAACTACTAATTAATAAATAAAACAAATACCAATATAAATCAAAATGTATGATTCATTTCATTTAAAAAATAAAGACAATCATATCTTATTTATATCCAATTATCTACTCATAAAATACTAAGAAAATTATAAACCAAATAAGATATTATTTTATTTAATAATTATTTCTTCAATCCTTATTATTATCAATTCTAGTTCTTTCTTTTATTCTTATTTTTATTTGTTTCTTACTCAGAAACACATAAATAAAACAATTACATTAACATTATTAAATACACTCACAACATTAACACATTCACTCAAACCTCTTCTTTTTATTGACTCCTCTTCTTTTTTAATAATGAAATAAAAGAAAGTATTGTTTTGTTTTTATTTTTTTTTCTATATTTGTAATATAAAAGAAATAAAGAGAGATGTGATACAATAATACGATTAAGTTATTTTTTAAATTCAATGACTAAGTACTTTTACAACCACTCTAATATCGTTAAACTATCATATATAAAAAATTTTTGACCAATGAAAATATCAGCACTAACTCCTTTTTTAACATCATAATTACCAGGAAATGAATAATCAATTTGGCTCCTTTTTGCACTTGACTCACTTTCTAGAATAAAAGCACCATAACACTCCAATAAATAATTTTGACTAGAATTTGATTTACCTGCTTTAGGAATAATTTTAATAATAAGGCTTTGATTCTGGTAATCAATTTTTTGATACTTTTCACCTTTGTTTATAGTTGTATTAAAAATAAATACAAAGTGTTTCTTGTCTTTATCTACATAAAGTGTTTGACCTTTTTCAGAAAGCATATTTGAATTGTAACATCCAAATACTATTTCTCCATATTTACATACTACCATTAATCCAGTTTTATCTCTTATTTTGTTTATTAGATTATTAGTATTTATTTCTTCTTCATTAGAATCTAATAAAACATTATACCTATTCTTCCCCGTGCACTGAATTAAAAATTTATTTAAATCTTGTAACTTTTTTATTTCTGTCATTTATACTTGTTCCTTTGATTATGAATTTGCAGTTTTCCTAAAATTAAAATAATATAAAAACTATAACTTTTACTATACTCAGATTGAGATTTAAAAAATGATTATAAAATAAAATGAAAAAGAAATTAAGTCAGATTAAAGTATTAAAGAAGAATCATCAACAACCATCACTACCTTTCCTTTGTCTGTTTGCATATTAAACTTCATAAACGTTCCCTCAATAGTAATTGCCATTACACAAGTAGTTGGACTATTTTGCCATCCGAAGAATACTGCAGTGTAAATGTCTGGTGTAATTGGACATTCACAACATCCATAAATTCCACTAAATCCTGGAACAATTTTAGAAAATTTAGATTCTTTATTAGAAACGTCTCCATCTTGAGAAAGAGAATAAACATGAATTGTTCCTCTATTACTATTTGTTACAATAAATTTACCATCTTGGCTGAAATTAACACTATAAATTTCAGCTGCACTTTTTCCTCTTCTAAATTCTCCTACTTTCTCACCACGTGCAGTATCCCATACTCTAAATAATGTTCCTTCTGAAGATGCACTAACCAATAAATTAGCCTCAGGACTTAAACATAAAGCAGAAATAGAATGTTTATGTGCTTCGATTGTAGTAGAAGCACCTGTTTCTAAATTGGCAACAACAACACTACCTTCTTGAACAGAAGGATAAGCAATAACTTTCTTATCTGAAGATGAAACGGCAATTAATCCTTTTGGATTTGGACAAGTTTTAAAGGTTTGTCTTAAATTTAAATTTCTGAAGTCATAAACAAATACTGAAGTATCTACAACAACAACAATAATATCTCTTTTTAATCTTACTGCACGTACAGGAGTGTCATATTCTAATTCTGCAATTCCTTTATTTTGATAATCATCCCAAATAATAACTTTAGTTGGTGGAAAAACGGGTTGTGGTCCACCTCCAACTAATGCTACCAAATTTGATTTATATAATAATTCAATAATTCCAACACCTCCATTGAAATTTCTTTTGAAACGTTCTCTTAATCGAGTTTGTTCAATACCATATACACAAAACCCTTTTGTAGTTCCAAGAGCAAAACATGAGAAGTCTTGATTGAATGATATACATAAGATCTTTTGTTCTTCCATTATCTTTTTTTTTTTCTTTCTTTTTCTAGTTTTTTCTTTATTTTTTTAGTTTGTTTTTAATTTTTTTTTCTTTTGTATTCTTTTCATTTTTAACTTTTTATTCGTTTTTCTTTTATTTTTTATTGAGTCGTTTTTATTTTATTTATAAATTATTTTTATGCAAGAATTTTTCAACTAAATAATGTTTATACAATCACTTTTATTTATAAGTAGCTCAATAACAAAAATTAGAGTTTTGGAAATATGAGAACATTAATAATCTCAAAAATACTTTAAAGATTTCATTGAAAAAATTTTTATTATTTTGATAAAAAGGTGTTAATGAAGGTATAATTTTGTTATGAAAAAAGAAAAAAGACTTAAAAATTTTTAATTTATAAGAATTGATGAGAACTAGATTTCGTTTGAATATACGAGTGAAAGAAACAAATTTAACAGTTCCAAACACATTAAGATATTCATTAAAAGGATTAGAAATAAAATGTCAAAATTATAATGAAAAGAAAGAAACGGATATGATTACAATACAATCACAATTTAAGTCATTACAAGTAAATGATGAAAACAAACCAATAATAGTTTTAAGTAAAAATACTCCATTTGAACTAAAGGCTAAGGTCGGAAAAGAATCTGAGTTAAATATTAAAATGAATAGACCACAATTAATTTGTATTCCAAGAGATATTAATAAATTACAAGAATATTGGGGACAAATATTAAAGTTTATAGGTGGATATCTTAAAGTTAATACTGAAATACCTTTTAAAGTAAATATTAGTATTAGTGACGGAATAATATTATTTGAAGATAATCAAGAAAGATGTGTAATTGCATTAGAATATTCAACAAACGGAAGTATTATTACACAAAATGTTATTCAATATTTAGACAAAAAAATTATTACAAATGAGTTAAAATCACTTTTTTTAGAATTTAATAATGTTTCTATGAAATCAACACAACATGAAATATTTAGTAAAACTAAATTTACATTGTCAATATCTAAAACATTACAAAAACATCAATTTCAACCAAATTTATTAATTAATTTTACATCTAATAATCTTCATTTCTTTATTGGAGCTTATGAATTCCTTATTCTCCAACATCTTTTTCAACAATTAAATGATAATTTAAAAGTATTCTTTAAACAAAATATAAAAGATTCTATTCAAAATAAATGTACTATTTATCAACCTTTTGTTTCACAACAAAAACCAATTATTCTTCCAATTAAAACACCGTCATTACATTCATATAAAGTTAGTATTCCAAATATTACATTAACAATTGCTACAGATATTAAATGTATTAAAATAATTATTAATAATTTTAGTATTGATGGTAAAAGTGGAGTATTAACAAATGTGTTTTCGTTAGAAGTTGATTGCTTTAATGCAGATAAACAAAAATATGAATCATTAATTGATATAACAACAATAAAGTGTGCTTGGATTGGTACATCAACAAGAATTCTTTTTGAAAAAAATTTAAATGTAAATATTACACCTTATGCAATTCTTTCTATTAGCTCATTATTAAATGCATTTAATTCATTTAATAGAGAAATTAATGATATTTCACAAATTATTACACCGAAACAAAAAGAAGAATTACCAATATTACAACCATTTTCATTAATAAATTATAGTGGAATGGATTTAGAAATAACTATTTCTAACATTACATTATTTGCTAAAATGAATTCTTCAATTAATTTACCTAAAGGAAGTTTACTTCAAATAAAGATGAATGGATATAAAGATATTTCTTTTACTATTGGTGGTATTAAACAAATTATTGAATTAACTTCATTAAAAACAAATAAACATGGTGGGTATTTAATTATTGAAAGAAGTTCATTAAAAGAATTAAAAATAAGTTCACCAATTAGCGTTTTAAATCAAACAAATGAAAAAGTAAAGGTTTATGTTTCTACACCATCTAAACCCAATGTTATTTCATTTTCATTACAACCTCAAAATATTTATTATCTTCAACCAATATTTAGTAGAACTCATTTCTCAATTGATGTAACTCCTATGAACGAACCAATTCCTCCTCCAAATCCTCCATACACAGGACACATACCAACTGAAACAAGTGAATTTAATAAACAATGGGAAATTCCAATTACTAAATTATTTGGTTCAGCCCCTGTTAAAATTTTAATGATTACTCCAAAAGTAGGAATTCCTCAACTAAATAAAGAAAAGAAATATGTTAGAACAGTTAACTTTATTATTCAACATCCTTATATATTTCATTCTCATTTACCTTCAACGTTATTATTAACTTTACTTGATAGAAATAAAACACAACTTATTATTCCACCTTTTGGAACTTTAAGTTATGCTCATAATAATGAAAGAATGAGTGGGTTTATTAAAATACTTAATGATTGTATTGATGGATTTACAATGGAACCAACAATATTATTATTAAATTCAGAAGAATTTTATTTATTTCCATCTAACCTTCGTTCAAGAAGAATTGTATTTAATTCACCAACACAAGTAAATTATATTTTAATGAAATTTGAAGAAAATGAAAGTCGTCCAACTAATGTTCATTTTGGAGTTAACCAATTTGTACAAAATCAAACATTACTTCCATTAATTTATAATAATATTTCATTACCAACAAATGGAAGTTTAGTACCAATGACACAATTTTGTGAAGATAATATAAAAATAAATAATAAATCTATTAATGGAATGTTAATGTTAAAAAGTGATCAAAATAATTATAAAAAATTAAAAGGAGTTCTTCTTCCAAATGAAGAAAATGGAATTATTCTTCTTGGAAATCCTCCTATTGATATTGTTTATTCAAAAAGTATTGAAGAAAAAAGTAACAAAGAAATAATTATTTTAAAACAACGTTATGTTATTCATAATAGAAGTGAACATAAAATTAAATTTTATTGTTCTCAATTTCCTCATGGAACAAATGTTATGGCTAAAGGATATGCTCCTTGTAATGTTAGTGGAGAATTTAAAATATCATTAGAAATTGAAATAAATAAAGAGTTATTTGAAAGTGAACAATTTGAAATTAATAAAGAAGTAAATTGTCAAATGATTTTAAGTTCAAAAAATGAAAGGTATATTATTATTTCAATTAATATTACTTTAAATCAAATGGAATATATTATTTGTATTGATGGAATAGAAGAATATTATTTATGTATTCAAAATTATACAAATATTCCAATTACTTTTTCTCAAACAGAAACAATTCATACATATACAATTCAACCTAATCAATCACTTCCTTTTGCATGGACAGTACCAACATTAAAACATACACTACAAATATATGATAAAAATAATACAATTATTAATCCAATTATTTCTTCTCAACATCATCAATTAGAATTTAATAATAATGAAAAAAAGAAAATTGAAATTGTTTATTCTTCATTTTCATTAGAAAAATCAACAACATTTATTAATTTTACTTTAACTTCTGTTTATGAAAATTCTTTAAATACTATTCCTTTGTATGATTTTAATATTAAGTTTACTAATTTTGGAATATCAATTCTTATTAATGATAATGAATTTCTTTATATTTCTTTATTTAATATGCAATTAAAATTAGTTCAAACTTTTTCACATTCAGGTGTTGAATTTTCTATTGATTATATACAAATTGATAATCAAGATGTTACTTTAATTAATAGCAAACCGGTAATTTTATCTCCTTCTCCTTCAGATTGGATTCAATTTAATAAACAACATTATTTCCATATCGGCTGTAAATTATTAAGAACAGGTGTTAATGAATTAACAAGTCATTCATTACATATTGTAGAAATGACAGTAGCAATTCAAACAACAGAAATTCAAATCGATCCTGCTTTTCTTGCAAGGGCAATAGAAGTATATTCTATTTATCATTCTATTGTTAAAAATATTTTTAAATCATCCGTTACTAATCAAAACGTTGAAAAACATAAATTTTATGTTAAAATTGAAAAGTTCATTTGTAATTCTATTGCTTTCCATCTCACTATTAACCCTTCTCAAAAAGAACCTCCTCCTCTTTCTGAATCAGCAACAACTTTACATCATTTAACACAAATGAATGCTGTAAAAAATGTACCAATTGTTATTCATAAATTTAGTTCAAAACCTATTGAAATGGAATTAATACAATTCATTAAACTAATTATTGAATACTTTTCAAAAGAAATTGATTTCCCTTCAATAAAAAAACAATGGGCAAGTGGAATTGTTGGTTTAAATAATATTCGTTTATCATATGAAACTGTTGACTATAAAACTTTTGAAAGGTATGTAATTCCAATAAAATTATTTAAAGATGTAGAAAAAAAAATACCAGAAGAGTTTAAAAAAGCACTTAGTGATTCATTTGTTAAAAGTGTTAATCAAGGAGTAGATGTATTAACAACTGGAATTGCTTCTGGTGTAAAAGGTATTTGGACAACCCCATCTACAATGTACCAAATGGCAAAAGAAAAATCAAGTTTATTAGGTCCAATTGGTTTTGTAGGTGGATTAGTTGCTGGTGTTACAGGAGTTGTATTAAAACCAATTGATGGTGTTGTTGGGTTAGTTCAAAATTTAGGAATGGGAATATCAGGAGAAACATGTGGTAGTATTGCAGAAGATAGAATTAGATTTCCATGGTATGTTGCTGGGGGTGTGTATAATGAAAAAAGTGCTACTGGATGGTCTATGATGATGGAATCCAATGAAGGGATGTATCAAAATTTAAAATATTTTGATTGTGTTAGAAAAGTAACTGAAAGAAAGATTGAAGTAATTGTTATTACAGAAACCCATCTATTATTTATTACAAAAAATTCAGGAGAAATACCTTCTTTACAAAAAATTATTCCTTTTGAATCTTTTAAAGGAATATTCACACAAAGTCTTTCTTTAATACTTTTTTATTATGAAAACAATAAATTGTCAGATTTAGAAATTATTGGATGGACACCTGTAGAATCTAATGCATTAAGAGTGATTATTGAAAATAATCCAATTAAAATATCAATTCCTAAAGGAGCTTTATTTTTAAGTTCTATACCTAAATCATAAAATGAGTTATTTATTTCTCATTTATTATTTTTAAATAGTTTTAAAATATTGAAACCATAATTTTTAAGTATTTTTTAAAAATAAATTTATGTTTTATTTAAAAAAGAATTAAATAAGAAGTACACGGATCAAAGGTTAATATTAATTTAATGATATTTTACTTCAACAGTTGTACTAAATTAATATATATGAAAATATATAGGTTGTATTAATCTCAATAAAGTTAGTAGACTTAATGTAGAGATAAAAAAACAACTATAAGAAATTAATTTTTTAATACTACCAATATTTTAATTATTTTATTGATTATAAGGTTTTATGAAATCCATTTGAATTAA